GGTACGACCCAAGAAATAGCTTAAATTGGCAGTCAGATTAATTAGACGTATTTCACACTGCTTCAGGCATGCTTCAGTCCTGCTTCAGACCTCCCTATTGAGCATTGTGAACCTTTGAGAAAAAATAAAAAAGGTTAGCATTCAACATCACTGCAAACTGGAATGAAAAGGAAAGGTAACTAATAAAAGTACAAGTAATATATATATATATATTTGGTGAGCGCACATTTAAGACATAATGAAGTATATAGTCACACATAGTCACACGTTGGTCGATATGTACAATCATATATAAATACATGGCGCATAGTTATTCATTTTTTTACAATACATATATAGATTAACGCCATCCTTGGGGTGAAGTTACGAGCCTTGGTGTATGTTTGAACATATTTGAACATATGCAAACACAAACGTTTATCAAACAAATAAGCATCAGAATAACAGTGGCAAAAAAAACAGAAAAACATATGACAAAAAATGCCAGAAAACTAATGTGAAAAACATTGAAAGCAAAATAAAGGAACACTAATAGAAAATGAAGACACACTATTGGAAAATACATGGAAACTAGTGGTAATGAAGAAAAACTAATGGAACATGAAGGAAAACTAATAAAAAAACGAAGGACAACTAATGGAAAATGATAAACAATTGAATAATAAAGGAACACTAATAAACAAATGAAGGAAAACTAATGGAAAATGAAGGCAAACTAATGGAAAATGAAGGAAAACTAAGGGAAAATGAAGGAACACTAACGGAAAATGAAAGCAGCCGATTGGAAAATAAAGAAAAACTGATAGAACATGAAGGAAAACTAATGGAAAATGGAACATGAAAGAAAACCAATGGAAAACCAATGGAACAACTATTGGAAAATGAAGGAACAGTAATGGAAAATGAAGGACAAGTAATGGAAAATGAAAGGAAACTAATGGAAAATAAAGGAAAACTATTGGAAAATGAAGGAAAAGTAATGGAAAATGAAGGGAAACTAATAGAAAATGAATGCAAACTAGTAGAAAATGAAGGAAACCTAATAGAACATGAAGGCAAACTAATGGAAAATGAAGGAAAACTAATGGAAAATGAAAGAAAACCAATAGGAAACCAAAAACTAATGGAAAATAAAAGAACTATTGGAAAATGAAGGAAAAGTAATGGAAAATGAAGGGAAACTAATAGAAAATGAATGCAGACTAGTAGAAAATGAAGGAAACCTAATAGAAAATGAAGGCAAACTAATGGAAAATGAAGGAAAACTAATGGAAAATGAAAGAAAACCAATAGGAAACCAAAAACAAAAAAAATCCCCAAAAAAAACAAAAAAAAATCCTAAAAAAAATCTTCGCTCTAAATTCAATGCAGGGGTGGCTTGGGCATGTAATCGAGCCTTTCAAGTACTTGTCAGAACAGACATGTCAGAGTATTTCCAGGTCATGCTAGTGAATTGCAAGTCTATCCAGCCTATGGAGTTAGATGAGTTAGATGAGTACATCGGAATGAAGTTTAGAAGTCAAACTTCCGACTTATGCATAGATGCAGCAACTGTTGTGAGAATAAATAGAGAAGAGACAGAGTCAGGGAAGAGAGAGTAAGTAGAAAGAAGATCGGAGATGGGAAAAGCAGAGAAGCGAGAGTAAGAAGAAAGAAGATCAAACCACGCGAAAAGGTAGAAAAACTTTTTGAGGCTCCGGAGGGTCGAAAAGTAGTGGCGCGAAGCACATTTCCAACTCAACATGTCGGAGCACTTTGGAAGTGGAGTCGTTGAAAAAGCGCACGCCATTGTGGCACTAAGCACACTTCCAAGTCAAAACACCAAAGCACCTCATGCTCGGAGCGCTCTTGGAAGTTGAGGTGTTCAAAAGGTGCGCGCGACTGTGGTGCGAAGCGCGTTTCGAAGTCAAAATATCAAAAGCACACCGTTCTCGGAGCACTTTTGGAAGTTGAGCTGTTCAAAAAGTGCAACCTCTGAGGCGCGAAAAGGAATTGAAGTCAGAATGTTAAAAGCAACATGCTCGGCCCACCTTGCCAAAAAAGACCACAATGATAAAATAGAGGGTTTTGTACTGTAGCTTTCAGAATCGATAGTATGCGTGGGACGTTTGAAGAGGATCTGCAAAGATGCATTTCGCGGGGCAGGCGCAGTACAAGAGACTATATCAGAGATATTCGGATCTCAGGGCGCTGACGTCCTGGGAGGAGTAGCGTTTTGGAGCATCAGATCTTCAGCTTTGCTAAGTTAACCGTGACAGGTGCAGCGTATGACCTGACTTCTTCACATTTTCGTGGCAGGCGCAGTACTGCAGACAGATGGAGTGCAATAATCGCAAAACGCTTTGGTACGAGGCCGTCAGGTCTGCACTCAACTTTCCATTTTTCACGGAAGTCTCGCAGAATTGCTTCGTTTTCGATGTTGTCAACTTCGATTTTTTCAGGAAGTCTTGCAGAAATTCTTCGCAGTCGGAAAGATCGCCGACCCTGCCTGCGGCCCAGAAGAAGGACGCCCAGGAGGCCTACAAGCTCCTGCAGGGCTTGTACCAAGCCACCAAGGAGGCCCTCTTCCCGGCGGAGCTCCCGGTGATCTCGGCGGTGGAGAGCTTGCAAATCACCAGCGGAGAAGATCCGTGCCTGCCATTCAGCGAGGAAGAGACCTTCTGGTTGAGCATTTTCAAGGTGCACGACGGAGAGGCCGGGCCAGTCCAAGAGATCCTCGTGCAAGAGACCGAGACCGACGAAGAGTACAGCACGGAGGACGAGCTGAAGCTCCGCTTTGCCGGCCTCCACGCCTCCGACGTGGCGGAGCCAACAGCGACGAGGAGTCCACCCCCACCGACCTCACCAGCAAGCGCCCACCCTCCAGCTCTTCCAAGTTTTGATCGAGAGATGCAAGCGGGACAAAAAGGAATGTCAGCAGGAGGGGAAGGGATTGATAAGGTGGTACGTTGTCATGTTGCTTGCAGCCATCCCGCTCTTGTGATTCGTTTGTTTTCACTTGATTTCGGATGCCGTTCTCCCGAGGTGCCAAACTCGCAGAATCCACTTCAAGAAAAACAAAGAGAGAAGGAAGAACTGGGGAGAGAGAGAGTGAGTGAGTGAGCGAGTGAGAGAGAGAGAGAGAGAACGAGAGAGAGAAAGAGAGAGACTCAGAGACTCAGCCAGCTTTCGGTCCATCAGTGGGTTCGCTCTGCCATCCATGCATCACAACACCGGAGATCTCCTATAGGTTTCCTATTTTTGAAATGTCTGCCACCGCCTTGTGCGGTACTATTGATACAGTAGAGTAGCATAGAGTAGAAAGGTACTTTTCGGGTCGTTCCTCGTAGACTCCTCTAGTTTCTTGACAGCTGTCATTCTTTGTGCTCTAAGGCATGCGCCACCAGCGCAGCCCCAAATGGCACCGCAACCTCAGCTCGGCCAAATGCGCCCGGGAACGGGCAGCATGCAGCTTGGGCATCGCCCTTCAGCGTTGGCCTCAGCACATGCGCCATGACAATTGCAAAAAAAACATAGAACATTAGTGAAAACGCAAACTTAAAATGTTTCAAACAGTTTCAAACATGTAGAAAAACCTTTGCAACGCGTGAAATGTGCGCAACCTCGGGTTGCTGGGAAGATGCCAGAACGTTTGTTCATGTTATGAGTGGGTATGAGTTGATTCCTCACTCAACCTTGGACGCCCTGTGGAAAGTATTTATATAGATTTTGCCAAAATTTCAGTTCTAAGGGCTCCAGTCTTGGTCAGGAGCTGAGAGTTGATGCTGGCATGTTGTGTGCGAAATTTGAACTCTTTGCAGCTCCCTTCCCCTTTTTGCACTAAGGCACTTTTGAGGCTCTGTCGCCTACACAAGCAGGTTCAAGGTCAGCAAGAACGACTCAGACAGAATTCTCATGATCGAATGACAATTGAAAAGACACTCTGACACTTCTCGGATACAAGCGCTTATCTGTCATGTCTGAGTCTGAGTGCATAATATTTGTCTGTTTTGGCATTCGCATCCTGTTACAAAGGACGATGCCAGTCTCCGGCCCTTCCGGAGCTCGAGAGCAGGCCTCAGCACAGAGGGGCGGTAATGGAGGGCAAGGATGGGTGGGGCACAGGCCGCGCACAGGGGATGGTCCGCCAGGCTCTGCAACAGCGAGTCACTGACCTCGAGGAGCTCCTGAAGAGCAAAGACCAGGAGATCAAGGCGCGACCCGGCGCGACCCGGCGCGACCCGGCGCGACCCGGCGCGACAAGAAAATGCATCCAATGAGCCAACGACGTCTAACGACAACGTGTCTCGACTTCGGCCATGACTTGTTCGGACTTGTAGCACTTGTGGCATCTTGTGTCGAGAGTAGCAACCAGCACACATACACAAAACACATGCAGGTTGCCAATCAGAAACATGTTGCAGATGCAGATTTGCTTCAGGAACTTCAGGGTGCGTTGTCAAAGGCCAATGGGAGAGTGGACTGTGGACTGTGCAAGCTGCCATTACTGCCGCTGCCAAGTGTCCAACCCATGCAAATCTATGTGACTTTGGAAGTTTGTTGAAACTTACATATGTTCGTGTTGCAAACATCAGGCCGGAATAAAGCTTCCATCGACATCTCTGAAAAAGGCCAAAGAAGGGTTGTGGGAACAAAGATAGCCGATAGCCTCTCAGCTGGCAACAATGCAAGCAACTGCCCTTGACACATATTTTCTGGCAGTAAAATGCGAAAAAGCCACATGGCTTCAAGTGCCTTTTGATCAAGCCAACTATACATCCAGAAAGACTTCAGAAGCGTTCCCGCCTACGTCAGGCCAAAGCGCGAGAAAAGGCCCAGTTTGCTTTGTGGAAGCTTCTCCTTTCTGTGTTCGTAAGCGACCTTCAGGTCCTCATTGTATGTCTTGCAGGTTGGGAGCGGTGGATTCCGCAAAGTTTCTCAATCTCAACCCTCGGTGCCTTATGAAGCCTTGGACCAGGATATGAAATGATATGAAGCATTCTGAAACTGTTGAAACACAGAGGAAGATCTTGGTCGGAGTGTAGTCTAACATGCCACCTGTAGCCACCTTTTGCAGGAGGATCCAACTGACCTTCGCTTGGAGGAGTTCTACAATGGGACAGGTTCAGCCATTCCTTTTCAAAGGACACCCGAAATGACAAATAGCCGTGGAAGCCGTGCAATGCAGCAAACTTTCTCACAAAGGAGGTGTTTTTGAAGTACAGGATCAATCGTGGTTTCTACCGATTCGGAGAGACGATTCTGGAGCTCAACATCATCAATCACAAGCTAATGGCAAAAACAGAAGTACGAGATCTCAGTTGGACTATGGTTGGACTCATTGAGCAGCCTGGGTTTAGTCTGGTCTGGCTTGCTGTCGTTGATGTGTCACAGTCCGTTTAGAAGTCTGGTACCACATTTAGGGCCAAAAGCGACTTTGACCAAATGATGAAAGCAAGTCATGATTGGACACTGAGGATGGCTGGAACCGAAGCAAATTTGGGCCCATTGAAAAGTTTCTGATGTACTATGAGAACATTGAGAGGGAAAAGGCCAGAGAGCGCGGGAGGGTCAAGGAGGGTCAAGGAGGGTCAAGGAGGGTCAAGGAGGGTCAAGGAGGGTCAAGCTTTGTCAAGGAGGGTCAAGGAGCGTCAAGGAGGGTCAAGGAGCCTATTGAAGCATGCCTTGGAAACTACCACATTGCAAGTTTGTTTACAAGGCAACAAATGAAAGAACTATCCGACTGGCTTGTGCTTGAACAACTTGTATCCATATTTGTCTACTGCTTTGGCAGCTTTGCCGTCCCTCCTGGTGGTCAACCAAGGCAGGAATCCCTATGGAAGCTTGAAGTGACAGGGCTGACGCTGACCAGAAGAAAGAAGGGCTCAGGATCAAACAAACGCAAGCTGAAGAGATATTTCTTGACACGTCTAAACCCCGCCATTCCCTTCATTTAAACAGAAACTGGTGCAATCCAAATCCCAGAGCACATCAACAAAAGCATCCCCACCGTCCTGCGATGATCAGCTTCTTACACTCTTGGTCTGGTCCTTAGGGACTAGGCGGTCACTCGACGGTACTTACTCTGCGGCTTCTTTCCTACCTACGGAATGTGCCAGTCAGAGACCGAATGGTTTGGACGTCACAGCCAAGACCTTGACTAAGATCATCATAAGATCATCATAAGATCATCATAAGAATATAATTCAGAATATATAAGTTATATAAGAATCATAAGTCATAAGAAAATATAAAAAATACCAAACCATTAGGCACGTATGCGTTTTATAGAATACAGCTGATTGCAGCTGATGGCTTATGACGACCTGAAATCGACCAAAAACAGCAGCGGATTGGCTTAGATTTGTCTTGGCACTCGATTCTCTGACTTCATAGCAATCGCTATCAAATTACTTCGCATCCTTGAACAACTTTGTGTTTTTGGATTCCATACTGAGACTCATTATGACTCATTTTTGTTTGTAAGATTCTTAATGCTTAGATGCTTGGAATTTGCATCCCTATAAGTAGCCTATAAGCCTTTGTAAGATCGGCAGAATTAGTCTTCCGCCGCCCATGCTCAAGCACTCCAACACGGTAGTGCTCCCTGAATGAAGGTCGGATCCACAGGACGGTGTCATTTTGTTCGCTTGTGGAAATTTGGAAAGGCCAAAAGTTTCATACTGCCAGAACTGCCAGAACTGCAGGAAGCTTGCTTTGATTTGCAAGCCGACCTGTGGATGTCCCTTGGAAAACCTCTTCATCATTCTGAGTAAGGGTGACATCGTGTGACATCCATTTGTAATCGAATTGTTTCGAGGCAACTGATTGTTAGTACCTGGAACAAGCTAAGGTGATGAGAATCAATGCAGTGCCCTGTTTGCAATATCACAGCGTGTCATTTGGATTCACGATACCTCGAGGGCTAGGTGAAGTCTGATTCTAAGATTTGCAAGTAACAATTCCAGCAAGGCACGCTTCCTGAACATTCAAGAATGCAAAACTGGATAAGATAACATCGAGGCAAGCAATATAGTCGTCTTTCAAACTTGCGTATTTGCCATGGATATTGATCCATGTGGGATTGACAGAACCTGGGACATCTTGGCACACTAGTCATCGAAAGGATCCCGAGTGTCCAGTCCATGACAGGAACTAGTGGTACAATGTGGTACACACGTGGTACACATTTGCACATTTTGGCCTTCTGAAGGGCTTTCAGTAAGTACTTAGCGTAAGGGGCGCGTGGCAGGCTCATGTTTGACGTTCCTGAAGCTAACAAGCTTTTTATTAGGCAAGGAGGTTACCTTTTTCCCGGGGGCATCAAACCTTTGGTCTTGGTTACACTCTGCCGGTACCGGATACCCTTGGGTTTATTCCACTTATTCTCTTTACTTGTTGGTTGACGAGCTCCTGGAACGCTGTCTTGTATTTGGCACTGTCCAAAGCTGTATGCATGTGCTATTCTGTAAGCCGCAAGTCAAACAGCTGAGAACTGAGAACGTTGTTGCAACAGAGGGAACGCTTTGCACTGCGCATGCGACATAGCCAGAAGATGCCAAACTGTGTTCCAGGGGAGGTTTTCATGTTAGCAGATAGCCATGTGTGCCATTGTCAAAACTCGGGTAAGCTGCCGGTATTGGGGTCGGATTGTCATCAATTCAGGTAGTGAGGAATAGTGGGGATCTTCTATCTATGTATTCCCGACCCCGGGGGTTAAGATGCATATGTGTTATATGTGTTCCCTAGTGTTGTGGTTCAAGTCACTGTATGTATGGGTGATTGTCCCCACTGCCATAGCTTCAACGGTGCTCCAACTTGCTCTAGCTGCAAGACCTACCTACGCATCGGCGGGCTGCTGCAAAGTGGGAAGTTAAGCCGGTACCAGGAAGGATCGGTGTTGACCGCTTTGCGGAATTGCGCGGGAGCCCTTAGCGACCTGGTGGAGATTGGTGTGCCAGGGCCTTTTGGCAGTGGGGTACCTGACAAGGAGGCTGAGATTGAGACGGTTCGAGTTGAGACAGATCCCCATTAGAGGGTCAGCAGGTCGGAGGAGCTACGACGGTCCAATCCCTGCCGGGAGCCGACCACCTCCAGAGCCAGCAGGCTCACCACCGAAGGAAGATCGGGACAGCAGAAACTACGGACGGTCAAGCGGAAGCTCGGGGCACAGGAACCCTGACAGGTGGAAGGGGTACAACCATTACCTCAGAGGAGTCAATTACTGGAAGAACCGGAAGAGACACCCAAGGTTGACATGGCGCCAAAAGCGAAAGTGCATCCTATGGCAAAAGTGCGAGTGAAAGCCAAAGCAAAGCCAAAAGGAGTCGGGAAAGCCAAAGCAAGAGGTGTATAGCCCTGGTGCGGGGTCGGAGGACCCTGAGGCGCCCTGCCGGGGTTCCGCCGGATGTGGACCGCGCTCAGCCTCAGAAGGTGGCTTGGGATGCCGGCCATACAGTCCGAGGGGGAGATATGAGCCTCGATGGGCTCCGCGGCGAGACAGGTCTGGTGGTGGAGGAAGCGCGATACTTCCACAGGACCTGCAAGGTCGCAGGAGCCGTGGTCGGAACCCTGTATTCGGGGAATCACGTAGAAGTGAGGCTGAAACCCACGGGAACGACAGACGAGGGCATTCTCAAGCTTCAGAGTGGCCAGCCGAGGTTAGAACTGAGGGTTCTTCTTTGCAATCCGGCTTGCAACCACGAGGAGACCGCGGAAGATCTAGTCCATGGACTGCGGATCCGAAAGCAGAGGCCGGCCGACGGGGAGGAGCCCTGGGTGAACAATCTAGAGAAGGTTGCCGGCCTCGAGGGGCCGGACGAGTTGGAAAGACTCCGCACGGAGATGGAGGAGAGGCGCAAAGCAGCCGACGCGCCCCGCACTGGAGCCGAGCCGAAGAAAGAGAAGGGCAAGAAGGAAAAGAAGGAGAAAAAGAAAAAGAAAGAAAAAGAAAGAAAGAAGAGCTCCACCAGCGGGGACTCCGTCTCCGGGGTAGCAGCCCTGGACGGGACGAAGGCCAGACAGGCATCCCAGAAAAAGCCAAAAGCGTTGTTCGCAGGTACGGGGCTAGATCCCTTGGACAAAGTGAGGAGCCGTGCACTACGGTTGGCAAAGAGGTATGTGAAGAAAAAGGGAAAGAAAGCCAGCAGCGACTCAGACAGCACGAGCGGCAGCTCACCAGGAGCCCGGTTGGAAGAGGAGTCGGAGACGATCTTCCAGCAAGCAGCTCGCGTGCGGGGGATTGCCGACGCCTACCCAGGCGTTCTGGCAAATCAAGCCCTGGGACAGATGCGAGCGAACCTCCTCCAGACCCTGGGAGAGGCCGAAGGCGTGAATACTCTCCCAGTGGTTGCAGTTCAATACTACCGTCAGGTATTGCAAAAGAAATCAAGTGGTCCGATGAGTCGGGAGCTCCTCACACTTTGCGCTGCCTCCGACCTCTTAGCGCGAGGGAAGGCGGCACAATGCCTCGACTTGCTGCTGCAGAGGGTGAAGAGTGCAGAATCAACGCTATCCGGGACCCACTGGTCGGTAGCCCAAAAGTTGGAGCTATTGCCAAGCGAGCAATCAAGTCTCACGGATGCAGCAGAGATGCGGGAAGCACAGCGCATAGCGTTCGAGGAGTCCAAAACAAGATGGATGTCCTCTTTGCCCGAAGGCAGACCCCTAGGATCGCAGAAGGGGGGAGGAAAAAAGGGCAGTGGAAAAGAGGACTACAGGCGTGGAGCAGATGGCAAAAAAGGAGGGAAAGGACAAGGAAAGAAGGGAGAATGGAAGAAGCCAGAGGATTCCACGCCAAAAGCCAGCTGAGCAGGGAGAAAGAGAGGAGTGAAGCAATGTCGGGGAAGATAGCCCTGAACAAAGGTTTTGGTGCGAGGCCAGATGAGCCTTGTGAGGTCGCAGTGGAGAGCGAAAAGATTGAGGATGCGCCGTATGAGGGAGGATTGGCAGTGGCCTCCCCGGCGGAGAAATTGAAGCAGCTCTCCCTTCGAGGCTTGGCGACCGGTGGGATGCCCTATAAAGCCTCGGAGCAATCATCGCCTGTGGCGGCGGAGCCCATCGCAGTGGCGACAGGGTCAAATGACCTTAGCACAGGCCACTTCGTTTCTGGCGACCATCAGCCGCTCGAGTGCCATGGAGGAAAAAAGGTTTTTGGGAATACTTGCATTGATGGTTTACCCCTGTTGTGATTTGTTTCAGTATCTCCTAGAGGTTTTGTCACTCCGCAGCCAGACCACGGGCAGAGGAAGCAAAGGAGGGATATTTCCGCTGCCCACCTCTAGGGAACGTTTGCTGGTTTTTGACCCAGGGTTGACTGAGTTTGAAGTTTTCTCGTGTTTGTGTGTTTGTGTTAGTTTGAACTCGTTTTGGGGAAGCGATTTGACCAGTGAAGATGAACTGAATGATGCCCAGCGTGCTTGTATGGGCGAGATCCTGAAGGATGTCAAGAGAGTGGTACATCTGAAGGAAGCTGTCTCTGGTGTGAACTGGTCAGAGTTTTTCTCGGTTCGATCCATTGACTATAAAGGTGATGAAGTCAAGGTGGCCCAGTGGTTCACTTGGAGTAGTATTGGCCCGGCGCTTCCGAAGGAGGTGGGTGTTGTCCCACTTGCGGAGGTTTGTAGTCACGGGTGTCGTGACTATGTACTCCATTTTGAGAGGTACCTCAAACCGTCTGCCGAATGGGGAAGTGTACCCAGGCCCAGGGCCATGGTTTCCGACGAAGACTGGCCGGCAGTGTGCCAAGGGCTGGTAGCCTCCAGGGTGTGTGTTTTTATCCCCGAGGAGGACGTTTTTTGCACTGATCAAGGCCCGTTGCTCAATGGAATGTTTGAGGTCAGCAAAGAAGAGTTCACCCCTGAGGGTGTCGAGGTGTATAGGTTGATAAT